AGATTACTCAAATCAGCTTCAGCAATAAATCATGCTCTCGTTGAAACTAAAAGAATAAATAATTTTGCGAGATTGCAGCATGAAACCACCATCTAAAAAGATGAAAAATATATATTTAAAGAAGATGCGCTGAGTGCTCTAAAAACAAGGATAGAAAGACACAATTTCTGTGCGAGAAATGTAATATCAGTATTTGTATGGAGCATGCTGTCAGAGATGTGTTAAAACTGTTAGAGATGTGTAAAATAATTGTAAGTTAAGTACTTCATTTATTATATTCTTTAAAAATATTCTAAAGTTCATTGTTTTTTTATGTTAATCCACATTTATACTCATATTTATATCATTAAAGCAATTTAAAATGTGTTAATTGCGTTTTGGTATGACATACCAGCACGCCTTCTCGTGTTTGTAACTTTAGCGAACGTGCTCGCGGGTTAACTATCTGTATGATATCTCTGAATAGTATAGTTAAATAAAATTAAGATTACTGCAAATGAAATTAATGTTTGGAGTACAAACCACTGTCTGGGTGCCCCTTCCTTCTAGTGCACTGTCTAGTGCACCCCTTCCTTCTAAGTGCACTGTCTTATTTGAACAAAAGGTTATAACCAGGGCAGAAAATTGTCTCTGGTGTTCTCTTGTGTCATAATGGACGTGAAAATGTGTGATGTCGATGCGTATGTAAGGGTAGATGCAGGTACAGTAGACATGTTTGATAAATTGCTTAATCCTTATTTTGTGTCTACTGTTGCAATCGTAGTAATTCGTGCAACATTTATCTTTCTTGTGATTTTCTTTTGCTGATTGCTTGTTGTTATGGTTATTATATATAACAAAAGGTAAGCACAGTTACATATTATGTTAAACTTAGGTTAAATTTTTATACTCGAAAAATGTTTACTTTTCATTTTTGAACCATTTCCATGTCCCTGGCCGCGTAACTTACTAAAATCTATACCATTTTTCTCTAAGGTCTTTAATAAGAATGTTGTTAGTCCTTCACCTGTCGTATCTGTGGCAAGACAAAATACTAAAACGTTTCTTCAATAATCACGTCTGTCTTTTCTAAATTAAGACACCTCATAGAAACTGATATCTGCTCCTGATGGCTAGCATCAGGGGTACAATCAAGTAAAATAGAAAAATACTTTGCCTGTTTGATATTATTTAAAATGATTTGTTTTATGTTATCAAAAAATATGCTAATTTTTTCAGTTTGAATTTTATCTCCAAGGCATATTTTTTTTTTGAGTTTCATTAATGTAATTCATTAAGGATGTATAAACATGATAGGGGAAAATTTTGCGATCATTTCTATACCCTTTAAAAAAATTAATTTTGCTTTTGAATTATTTGTTTTTGAAACCACGAAAGGCTAAGTTTCGTTTGGCTAAAAACTGAATAGTATAGATAATTCTTTCGATGACATCGCGGCAATGCTTAGTTTTTTTCTTAAATAAATTTTGAAATTCCAAATCAACAACTTTATTCTTTCCTAATCATTCTAAGAAATTGGACAAAAGATATAGATTCCGAAAATGCATTTTACTGTTTTCATGACATTTTTAAGTGGTTTGAGTCATCAAATCCAGAACTACTCAATTTTACATTACTTAAAAAATGCAAATTTTGCAATAAACAGAATTTTTTCCCCGCAGAATTTAGCAACTAATCTCTTTTAATATTTTCATTGTCTGGCAAGATTCGACAAAAACTGCATCTAAAAAAATTTACATCCATATGCATATCATTACGTCCCAATGCCTATCTACTGCAGAAATGGTAGATTTCACTATTATTTCTTTTGTTATTTTGATTGGCTACATTGAAGTTAAAGGTAACTCTCGGCTGAAAACAATTTCTAACTTTTCCTGATTCTTAGGGTTTTTTTTGGGGGGGGGTAATTTCAGTGGTTAGCTGAGACGTTGATGGACAACTAGTGCTAGTAGCATGAGCTTGGGTATTCTCTGGGTTTTAGAAAAATGAATTAAATTTAAAGTTCTGGTTTATTAAGTCTTCCTCTCGCTTTCTTTTCTTCAGTAAATTCTGATACCCAGACAGTTTTTTTCTGTTTTTCTTTCGACATCTGGAAAAAAAAAAAAAAAAACAGAAGAAGTAAGAGTAAAAATAAAAGTAGAAAATAACTATTATAAGAACCACTGCGAAAAACACTTCTTGTTAAAAACACTCGGAAAGTCTGTGTTTGAAGTATTTTACCTTCCTTCTGAAAAACTGAGTATATCTTAAACCATTGCTAGGAAAAATATGAACTATTAGATCAATACCAAGTTATTCAAGGAGGTAGTGATACTCTTTTGTTTATTAAAATAAATAAATCAAATTTAAAATATGTATTTAAGACGTAATGAAATAACGAATAAGTTTTCTTCGGTTTTCAGGACAGCTAAAAATGAGAAAATGGCCAATTTGTAATTTCAGAGCAACTTCATTTCAAATCTCAAATAGGTATATTATAAACTCAGTGTTATTCCATAATATGCCAGTCTTTTCTCGAAAGATAATAATTTTTAATTTAATAAACAAATGGCTCATGTAAAAATTTTTTCGAGTAATTATGCTCAAAACGTCGCTTTTCTGAATTAAAAAGCTAACCTAAGTTTAACATAACAAGCAACTATACTAAATTTTTTAAAAATATCATCAAAAAGATAATTGTTACATAAATTACTACAACTGCAACAGTAGACACAAAATAAAGATTAAGCAATTTGTCGAATGCATTTACCTTTACATACGCATGACATATTTCCATTTATATATAGTACAAGTTCAGCTCAGCTTATGTCAAAAACTGCAAAAAGCATTAATTAATAAAAATGAAAATGATATAAATAGTACAGATCTTGCACACGAACTACAGTTTTTACAAACTTTTGGAAAATATGTAGCATCGCTGGTTGAAACTCTGTATCGTTGCAACATAGAGGTAGACAGAAAAGAATTTTGAACATCAACCCTAGAGCATTTTTTGTGCCCTGTTGTAATCATAGTTCGAACCTTGTTTTGAACGACGCTTTGAACAAACAATTTATTTGGTGCAGACTTAGATATGTAAATTAATTTGTTTTTAATTTTAAGAAAATAAATAGTGTTAAGCAGTATATTTGTTATCCAATGCATGTAGTGTATTATTTTGCTATGCTTGCAGTGTTATTTTTTTAATAATGTATAATTCTTCAATAAATATGTTTGAGCGTGCATTTTAAGAAATCACAAAATATTTGCACATTTAGAAAAATTAAAAAAGAAAATGTAATTTTTTGGTTTTTTCTGATTGTTATGTTAATAATTCACTTTAAGTGTTAACCATAAGCAGTTTCTCTTTAATATCGTCGCTGCATAAAGGCACTTTCTAGACATTTGCTTGTCGGCGCCGATTAGACTTGGCGCGGTCTGTCTGTATATAATATATTTTATTCTATCTTATATATCTTGTTCTGTTTTCATTGTTTCTGAGAATTATTTCTACAGATAAAACAGCATTTATCCGAACCATCAAATGAAAGGTGTAAACATAGGTTTGTGGATTTTGTTTGTAATTTATTACTGCAAAATATGAAAGCTGTCAGGCCAGATAGAAATATCTCTGAAAAGAATTTTCTCTAGAAGAATGTGCTTTATATTATACACGAAGAAACACCATAAAAACATCTGTACAATCAACCTGTGTCGTCACTGAATTTAATCTAAGGTGAAATTACTAATAATTGATTGTTTTAATTCTTGGGTCACTGGTAAACTTTTTGATGGCATGAAATTTTTAAAACCAAGACCATTAAACATCCAGAATTTCTAAAAGCTATATAATACATTTATCAATATAATTTAGGTTTGAAGCGTTATACTCTCAAAATTTTGACAAAGTAAGAATGTAAACAAAGAAATAAGAATTTTAAAAGTAGTATTTAAATGTTACATATGCAGATATTTGGAAGAATGAAAAATACTTCAAGTTTTATATGAAAAAACGAAAGGCAAATTGCATAAAGACATGTATATATTAAAACAAAGAATTAAATAGAATGAAATAGATGATTGGCAATCAGCATACTTTCTTTTAAGTAGACATATAATAATTTTATATCATATAACACAGTGTTTCTTAAACTATGGGTCACGACTCCAAATGGGGTTGCAAATGGAAGTTTCATAGTCACGAAAATTCAATTTGATAGTGGAAATTACATTAATTAACATTAATGAGATTAGCCTTATAAAGACGTTACATTAATGGATATTAATGAGATTAATTACCTGTTATATAAAGTGCAAAAGGAATTAATAAAGCTATCTAGCAATTCAAAATTAAAACTTTTTGAGTTTTCACAAAAATCATTGATGAATTCTGGGTAGGAGTTAGAACTAGATTTCTCATTATTTTTGAAATATCATTAAATGTTCTTTTCTCATTCAGCACCACATATTTTTATAAAACTGCTTTTTCAGCTTTAATGCTAATTAAAACCAAATATTGTTCGATGTTGAAACATGCTGAAGATGCAAAATTTAATTTGTTATGTTATTTGATAGCAGAAAACGAGCACATCTGTCTCATTAGAATTTTTTTTTTTTTTTTTTTTGTTTGATTAAAATAAATCCTAAAATACTTCTTTTTATATTGTTTACCAAAGAAGTAAATTATTTATGGGAGGATATTTATTTTTTATATCTTTATTTCATATTTAATATCTGGTGTTGCAAAAAAAAAATCTCAGTGATAAAAAGGGTTCGCAATTGAAAAACGTTTAAGAAGCCTTTATACTACCATTAGAGATAATTTTGAGGTAGCATGATTATTTCTTTACATTTTTAAGTAAATATTTTGCTATAATTGTTTATGTCTGGATAAACGTATTATCTGATAAATATTTTTTGTTAACGACCCCCCCAAAAAAAACTTTGTATTATTAAACTTTATTTGATTTGCATCAGATTCTCATACGCAATTTTTAAAAATGTAAATATTCTTTTTAAAGGATCTTGTAGCTTTAGTAACTGGTGGAGCATCAGGTTTAGGCCGAGCTACAGCTGAGAGATTCATCCAGCAAGGTGGAAAAGTAGTGATATGTGATCTACCTACATCAGCAGGAGACGTTGTAGCCAAAACTTTGGGCGAAAATTGTACCTTTTCGGCTGCTGATGTAAGATTTATTATGTAAAATTAAATTTTATAATATTATCATGGAACATTTCGTTATTGTGCAGTATTATGGTGAAGTTTATTTTTAATTCAAGTTTTTAATACTGTGTGTAATTTTCCTAATTAAGAATAACTTTGAACAAAATATCAGAAGAAATGAGATGAATTAGGACTTTAAGTTGAAGTATTTATATTGCAAAACTTCTTAATATAACTTTCAACCTTTATAGGTATCATATTTTACACTTTTATCATGCTGAGCAGTTAAATGATCTAAATTAGTTGTTCTCAACCTTTGGACTAACGCGTACCATATAAACAAAAATTGAAAACCTTTAGTACCACCACTACAAAGTACTATTATCACCAGCACTCATGTACAAAGCTCAGATCACATACATTTACGAGTGTTAGAGAAAAAACTCAATCAGGATGTTGGGGTTTTAATTTTTTAATTTAATAGTTAAAAATACTTTGCTTCTTTGCGTACCACCAGTTGAGAACCCCTGATCTAAATTAAATAAGAAATCATCTGGGTATTTCCTGATATTTTAAAACTAGTTTAAAAAATGAGTACAAATTAGATTTATTGTTCATAATTTGACTAATTTTAAGAATTCTAACAGAAATATTTGATTCAAGAAAATTTCGCTTTTCATTGAACGTTTCTGTTTAAGTATTTTGTTTTTATCTATCCATTTTTTGTCTTGATCATGGTTTAGATATTTGTACTTGTCCAGACATGTATTCATTTGGCTTTATAGCCAAGATACAAATTTGTTTACAAGGTTACTTTACAGAACAACTTGAGGTCAAGAATGGAGTGAGATAGGGGGATGCTTCGGCATGGCCTCCTGTTTAATATTGCACTCGAAAACTAGAGGGAATACTTTTAAATAAGACTTTTCAATTGCTGGCTTATGCAGATGATATTTGCATTGTTGCCCATACTGTTGTATTCCTGCTCTTAAACAGGCATTCATATCATAGGGAAAAGTGCACAGAGATTTAACCTCAATGAAAATAAAATTAAATATATGCTTTGTTTAAAATCTGACTTACCCCTTAGTCATTTAGAAATTTGATGCTGTAGATTTGAAAAAGTCTACAGCTTCACTTATCTGGGAGTGGAGATGAATAGTAAAAATAAGATAACTTCTGAAATACTTAAAAGAATCTCTGTTGCAAGTAGATTTTTTATGTCCTGAACAGCTATTAGAATCCGGTTTCTTCAAGTTAAGAACTAAATTACTTCTTTACAAGAGTCTCAAAAGATCTGTCCTGGCCAGAATGCATGAAGATCAATGTTGTAAGACAATCTTTCTGGCAAAGCTGTTGAGAAGCAGACCTCAGAGTAGGGTCCTGGTGAAATGGATCAATTCTTTTGAAAATGACCTAAGCACTCTAAAGGTTAAAAACTAAAAAATAGTTACCAAAAGCAAAGATACCTGGAGAAGACTTCCGGAAAAGGCCAGAGTCCATACTGCGCTGTCGAGCCAGTGAAAAAGAAGGGGGGGGGGAAAACTGTTTTACAAAAATTGTCTTCAGATTCAAACTTTGTTATTTGAGTGGATTATTTCTTTCATTGCAATTGATGTCTGCAACACATATGTTGTCTGTGACAGGATGCAACTGCGAGTTATTTCTTATTCTGTTTGTTTGGAGATGCTGTATTTGGTGAGAAGATTTTTATGAATTGAAACCAATACGGAAAAGGATAAATGGATTGGTTTTAAATAAGTGAAGATTTTGTTTCTCTTTTATGTAATGGAATATTTTATTTTTCATTTTTAATTAAGTTGAAGCTTAAATATAGATTAAATACTGAGGAAAAGGAATATGTAAGTTATCAAACATAGAAGTTTTAAAGAAAAACAGAATACAGCATTGGAAATTATTTGCAAAGGCTTGTAATGAATTTGAGAGAGACGAAGAAAAATTAGATGTTTAAATAAAATCACGAAGTTAAAACTAATTGAAGAAAAGGCTAAATTGGTGATAGACTGTGATAGAAAAGTTAGCCAACAACTGTTTGTTGAGGATATTGATGAAAATTTACTTGAGGCAGAAATAGATGAATCAGAGAGTTGTATTGATTGCTGGTATATTTTAGAACAAAAACTGAAGCAGTTAATAGCACCAGACAGAGAAAGTTCGTTTCCTTGTTTCGATGTTCCAGTAAAAACTTCCTTATTGAGATATTCCAAAATTCAACTGCCTACATTTAATGGAGAGGATAGGAATTGGCTATGTTTTTGGGGGAACAATTAAAAAAAAAAAAGTGAAGATCGAGATTTAGATTTCTACAATAAATTTTCTTATTTGTGTCAAACTATGGAGAAAGCATAGTAGAAAAAGTTTTCTTTCGCGCCAAGTACCAGCTATAGAAAGGTAGTTAAGTAGATCCAAAATTTATGGAAATGAAGAATTAATAATTCAAGTGTATGTTAGAGATTTGTTAACATTAGTTATTCAAAAACAGAAAACTGAGAATAAATTGTTGAGAAAACTTTATGAGTTATTAGAAACGAAATTACTTTAGTTGGGAATTCTTGGAGTTACCAGAAATAAATATGCGTCCATGCTGTTTTACTTAGTAAAGTCTTCATTACCAGAAGAAAGTTTAAGAGCAGGGGAGCACTACTGAGTAACAAATCATAGGATGTGTGAAGGTAATACAGAAGAGGAAAAAAGTCTTACAGTAGTGGAAGATTTAGATTCTATTTTAGGATTTCTCCAAGATGAGGTTGCGGCAGAAGAAAGAATAAATATTGCATCACAAAGAACTTTAATTTTTTGAAAACAAAATTGAATTTTAAAGGTAACAACAAATTTAACCCCAATGAAAAGTTTGCAAGTACAACTGATCTTTTAACTTCTTCCAGAGGACAGATACAATATGTATTTTGTTCAAACTTTAACAGTTCTGAAAACTGTATTAAAACTAGAAAGATGACACTGAAAAAAAGAGAGAATTCAGTAGAAAATCTTCCTGTTGATTCTTATGTTTAAAGCCAGAGTATCATGTCCGCCAGTGTAATTTGAAGGTATGGTGATCATATTGTGATAAAAAACATCACATTTTGTTATGTTGAAATGTTTCTAAAAAAAGTAGGTGATTTGCCTTTTAAAAAAAAAAAAAAAAAAAAAAAAAAAAAAAACAGAAATGTCAGGGACAACTCTATTTGATCTGCCTTGCTAAAAGGATGGTATATTGAGCTCAAAGTTCTGAATGCCCTCAACATTCATTTTTGGGGGGGGTAATAGCTCAGGAGTGTGTAAACACGCGTGTCGCATTGTTTTTAATCAGTATTGATGGAGCTTACAATTGTAATTTTAAAGTTTTTAGTTAGCCTGCTATCTACGAGATTGTGCCATCTTCAGCCCATAAATTTTGTGCACAAGAAATTTTTGATAATAATATTGCTGTTGATAATAGCAATCAAAGTCCGATTAAGGTACTCATTAGTGTTGACGTGTCGGGTAAATTCACGACTGATGGTTATAAGGTAAATCATGTGAACTCTTAGCAACTGAGACTAAACTGGGATGGACCTTGATGGGTCGAATGGCAAATGCTTTATAAGAAGAGAGTAGTACATTGTTAATAATTATCTGCTTATTATCACTGAATGAATCAATTTCACAGTTATGGACTCTTGGCATTAATTATCCTTCTGTGTAGAAAACAAGAGCAGAGCTCCATGAGCTACTAGAAAGCATTTTTTAAGAACTCTTAGTGTAGAAAATAATCATTTTGTTGTGCATTTATCCTAGAGGCTCAGTACAACAGTAAAATGTCTGAAATCACAATTTCTGTATGAAGAATACAAGGAAGTGTTTAAAAGTTGGCTGAAGGAAGGAGTTATAAAAGAAATTGGAGTGAAGCAAAATGTTCCGGTACATTACTTACCACATTGTCCAGTTATCAAAGAAAACAGTACGAGTAAAATCCAGACCAGTTTTTGATGTGTTTGCTAAGGTAAAAGAATCACCTCGCCTTAAAGACTGCCTAGATAAAGGAAAGAATCTTATTGATTCCATGTAGCTTGAACTATTTTCGTGCCCAAAGAATAACTGTTATTGCTGATATATGTGAAGCTTTCTTACAAATAAGTAGTTTACCTATTGATAAACATTATCTATGTTTTTTATGGCATTGCAGCAGTGAAGATACAAATGAGTATAGACACTCTCAAGTAGTATAATAGGAGTGTCGGTACTTTTCCGTTTTGCCGGCACAAATCTCGCCAAGCAGTCTTTATTGGCGACAACATATGGTATACACATAAAAAAAAGATTTTTAACAAATGTTAGTTCTAAGAATTTTTTATTTTGGAAGCATATACATTTTAATCTCGTTTAAAATTTTGTAAAAATCCAATAAATAAAGACAATAAATTTGTAAAAAGACATTAGTTTTTCATGGTTCAACAAGCTGATTCGCCAGTTCATATCACTTGACCCCAAGTGATCTCATCTCATGTAAACTACGCTACAAAAATCTAATTATCTACATTAATTCTAAGTTAAATCTTAATTTGGAATACAAGTTTAAATGCAAGAATTATTTCAATTCATACGAATAGCTTACTCAGAAATTATGTAAAACCACAGTGCTTTACTTCACTAGTGTATTCTCATTAGAATTGATGAATTTAACCCTTGACTTTGCCTTTTCTATATTTTTGTCTTCGGGTGAACGGTGTGATTGCATTCTAATTGACTTAATTACCACGAATGGCCTTAAAATTTTACTACAAGGTAAAAATTCTATGTAATTCTATGCCAGCATTGAAAGAACCAATCAATCTGATAAGAAATGGCTGCGACTTGTTTTGAAAATGAGGCATAAAAGGTTACCAGTGAGGATATTCCTTTTGGCATCAGTTGTACCATTAGTGGCGGCTTTATCGCCTGCACCAGCAAAACGGAAAAGTATCGGAGAGTCATACAGCCCATTCTTTTAGTTTCTACCATTTACTACCATCTGCAAATTAT